TTCCATAAAAAATACTGTTCCAAAAACAATAATATACATTTTAACATAGTAAAAACAGCAAGATATGTACAAGCAAAACCATTATTAAAAAACAGTTGAAAAATAATAAAATAATCTTAAAATAAGTTGTCACATGACTCTCTTCTTCTTTAGGTCCATGCAGTGTTGGAGTCCATCTCCAGCAGTTTCACAAAGTGGAACAAACACATGATGGACACCAGAGACTACCAGGTGTCCTTCACCTTCGGACCATGTGACCACCAACAGGAAGTCAGCCTGCGTGTCCACCTGCTCGACTTCATCTCCAAATCTGTATGAAACATTAATTTTGTTTTGCATATTAAAGCATTTTTTCCAAATCATGACTAACAGCAAAATTAAAATAGATAATGTGAGATGACTTCATTTGTATGTTGTTTGTATTTTCCAGGGTTTCACAATACGCAACACGCGTGTTCACCACATGAGTGAGCGAGCCAACGAGAACACAGTGGAACACAACTGGACATTCTGCCGACGAGTTCGCAAAGTTAACGACTGAACTGAAGGATGGACTTACTGACAGACGAGTGTCTGCAGACAGGCAGAGACTTGTATGTGGTGGTTTTGTTGTGAAATGTTAATGTTTTGCATGATGTGTGTTGTTTTTGAAGCATTCCCTCAGTCTACTCACGGCTGAAGCACAAGGCCAGGTTACTGGATGGCTAGCATATTAGCCACATGTGGTACATAATCATGAGCCTTTAACATGTATTACCTGTGCTTTATCGTATATACATTACATGGCCAAAAGTATGTGGACAGCCCTCACACACTAATAATATTTTACACAATAGTGTCTTTTCTTCTTTCAGCATGACAATGTCCCTGGGCACAAAGCCAGGTCTATAAAGAAATGGTTTTCCCAGTTTGGTGTGGAAGAATTTGACTGGCCAGCGCAGAGCCCTGACCTCACCCCATCCAATTCCTTTGGATGAACTTCAACACCCACTGTGAGCCAACCCTTAACACCCAAAGTCAGTATTGAACCTCATTAATGCTCTTGCGGATAAATAGGAGCCATTACCTAGCTATCTATCTCATATAGCTGCAATGTTCTGGTGTCCACCTACTTTTGGCCACGTAGTGTATGGTAGCTTCATATCTGGCATATCAGCAGTATCACAAATCTGATAAACGTCAGTAAATAGGAATGAATATTAACTGCAAATAAAACAATCTGAAAATGATGATCTCAGGTCATTTTTTCTACTCAGCCTCAGTTCTCCTTGTGTCTGCCATTCTCACAGAAATCAGTCAATCTTAGACCAATTTAAAGGATACGTGAACATTTTTTAAAGACTGTCTTAAAACAGTGTTCAGGTGCCCATATGAAAACTGAAACTGTCTTTTCTTGCTGTAATCATTCCACCTGTTCATACTGGACATCAGTAGATTCCGTCCTACCATGCTACCAATGTAAGTGATGGGGGACAAAATCCATTTGAAGTTGATATGAGGCTTCAGCATCTGTCAGATGTCTCTTTGAATTGAATGAGGGGGCAATGTAGTGTGATGAATTTCTATTGTTGTTCTGAATACAGCTGTACTGTTATCTACTTGGTGTCATTTTAACAGCTTGTTGTCTATCATTATAACCTAAACAGCCTATTTAGATTCACAAATGTTAAATATACTCTTGTGGTAAAAAAGTTTAGGTTCAGTTAAATTAATGCAAATGAGGGCAGTGTTTGCTGAATAATCAGCCATCTGAATGGGCAAACAAGATCCTGTTTGTTTTCGCAGCCATTTGGCTACTGGTTAAATTTTATTACCCAGCTGGTCATACCCACATAGTAAAAACTTTGCAGTATTGACTAGAATCCGTGTGAATACATCTTTTTAAAGTATGGCTCACGCCTGAGGATAAAATGATGAAGTGATGACACTTTATGTCCAAACAGTCAAAGGTCAGTTTCACTGTGACATCATAATTTCTTGTGAAAACACTAACTCAGGAACAGAAGGGGAGATTGTGACCAGATTTCTTGCAACCTGACTGGTTGGCAGAGATATACAACCACAAGATGGTAATTCTATTTGTCATTAGGGTTCCTTGTCTGATTCAAGGGTCCAAGGACAGAAAGTGTTGTAATGCTGCACAGATTGTTAAACCCCTTTGGGCAAATTTGTCATTTGTGATTTTGGGCTGTATAAATAAATACAGCCCAAATAGCTGCCTTATGGAGGTGGCAGACTAACAACCCAATATTCTCACCAAAACCAGCACTGTGTGAAATGGGAAAACACTGTGTTGACACAGCAGAGATCCTGACAGAGAGGCAAAAAAAATGCAGGGCGTCAACTTTTGCTGTGAGTCAATGCAACATCATTTGGCAAGATACTGTGTTCACCCAGGGACAGGGTGAGTGTCAGAATTGAAGGAAGGATGAATGTGGCCAAATACATAGAGGTCTGGAATGGCTGGGGAGAGAAGTGTCTTGATGGTCCTTGATTGCCCAGACTTAAACCCCACAGAACATCTGTGGAAAGACCTGAAGATAGCAGGTCACAGACACTTCCCATCAAATCTGACAGATCTTGAGAGGATCTGCCAGGAACAATGATGATAGCAAAAAGTAAAAGGGTCTGAATGCTTTGAAGCCACTGTGTGTGAACTTTACCCTGCACATTATCCACCAGGACTAATTAATATTTTACAGTAACATCCTCTGGCATCAGTTAAGTTGTGCAAAATCATGAGATATTCTGGTGCCTATACACACAAACTTTGCAGGCAAGTATGTAGACGATGACACCAGCTATGTGTTCAACTCTATGTACCCAGTGGTAAAAAGCAAGAATGTCATAGCATTTTGGAGGCCAGAGGACATAGGCGGTTCACCACTGCATGTTACACTAGAAGGTAAAAAATAGAGAATGTAATCCACCAAATGAGTAAAAAAAACCTTGCTCGGGTGAAGATTTTTTTTGATAGCTTATAAAGAGAAAATAATGATCCAGGAATTTGTGATGTGGAAGTATTCCCTAAAATGCTTCGTTATTTCTACAGTATCCAGATACTATATGTGAAGGGAGGTATTTTGTGGTGATGACTTTACATTACTGATTATTTAGATTGCTGTAAGTTTAACATTTACTTCAATTCCTTCTAAGAACATGTAATCTTTTCTCTACTAAATGCAATATTTCACCAAGTTAAGGCCAGCAAACGATTTGTGTTTGAAAAATGTGCTGTCCTAGCCACTACTACTACTACTTCAGCTATAACTGCAGGGCTTCTGTGAATATGACAACACCTACAGTTCTACAGCATCAGTCACAGAAATAACCTACTGCCATTAAAAGATCCCTTCCTAAAGTGCTTTAAATGTACACTAAGTGAAGGGGTTGACAAAATTCCCAGTTGTCATTTTGCGCAAAAGTGTATTCAGAAATTTGTCTGAAGCTAATATCAGGCTTCAGCAAACAGTTAGTCAAGTTAAGTGGATATCTTCCAAAGTTAGTCTTTTTAGTTTACAAGAGGTTATAATATGTCCTCTGAGAAGCACTACTTATTCAGGGCAGTCTAGACCCCATAGTGACTAGGTATCAGAAAGTGACGGGACAGTCCAACCGGGCTGGGGCTTGCTGGTTAGCATGGAAAATGGCACCATAAAAGAGGCATGGTTTGCAGTTAGTCATTTAACAGGACTCCATGATACAAATACATCTCTTAAATACATTGTATTAAGCTAGCTGCTAGCTTGCAAGGCTAATGCTAGCATGTGGCTATTGCTGTGTTCAGATGGTGTAAACCATAATTATCACATTGGTAATTCTGAACTATGAATTTTGGACATAGCCTATATCTCCCACTTGATGAAATGAACAACAGAATTGTCAAACAGTTGGCAGAATGGTTGTAAAGGCACCACCACTTGCTGTTACGGCAAAATAAAATTCAATATTAACACTAATACAATTGATTTGGGAGATATACACTGTATCTGGTGTCACTTGGTAATAAACTGCTACAAATATAACACAATGAAAGTAGCTAAATTAGGCTGTTTATCTGGTGTGACCACAAGTTTAGCAATAAGTTCTAACCACTAATAGTGAGTGAGCATTCCCACTTGGCTTAAGGAGTGTTTTTCCTGTTCTTTCAATTCCTGACATTGTATTGCACTGAAGTTCTTATCATTTTCATATGAATTTAATTCACAACATAACTTACACACACAATAGAATTTAGACAGTTAGTAACAAAAGAACAGAATGTTAAATACTGAATGGAAAAATAAAAATAACATAATATAAGACCCTGAAATATCTGTTAAAATTAGTGATAGACACTAGACAACTCAAGTAGACAATCGGTCCTTCGAGAAAGAGAACACATTGGAAAAGTGAATTCATTATCTATTCATTAATTTTGCCAAAATGTTTTCATTTTCTTTGTAATTTATAAACGTTATGTTTATCCATGGAACATATTTCACATATTGTGAATTTTATTTCAGCAATTACAATCAAAAAATCTTATTTCCCTGACACATGTGCCCCTTTTTGATGACTAGAAACATAAAATCTGCTTTGTCATACTACTTGTAGTGCAACTAAAATAAAATTAATGGTAGCTATATCAACATATATCAACTATAATAGTTGAGGTCACTGTGTTGGTTGGCTAGTTGGTTGCAAGAGATTGAGACTCACACAAAAACACAACAATAGACATATAAACCCCGCCCCGTCATGACGTCACAATTTACTCAGGTTTCTGTTTAGGAGAGCATATGTTTGTTTAGTGTGTTATGTAATATAATGTTTATCTAGACTTAGAAGTCCTTGTGAATTTTGCTTTGGAAAATATATTTTTGTAAATTGAAGCTAAGGTTATTTTTCATTCACTTGTGCCCGTTCCCCACCCCCAACCATCGGCGGAGTTAGCAGAGACCGCCCCCCTCTCCTCTCTCCCCGGCAGCCTCCGCCTCTCTTCCCTGATCTATCTTCTACACCGCTGTTGTTGCAGCCATTTTACCGAGGAGCGACAGCACAGCGGCGACCGGAGGATGCCGAGGCGACACCGTTGAAAGGTAATTCCGCTCTTTTGTTGAGCACTTTCATTCGGGTGGGTAACCTTTACGTTTCTGACACACTACATGCTTCGGGTAATGTCTGGGGAGCAGAGGACCAGGCCGGTCGGAGTGGCTGCGCGAGCCTCAACAACTAGTAGCTGTCCACACAGAGGAAAGATAGCTGGGAGAGTGATTGCCGAGCAAAGCTTATCGTTGGCAGTTCACAAGTCCGTGTAAAAATGGCGACATCTTTCCACCGAACCACGAAAAGTTGTAAATTAGCTTCTACATTTGGCAACGATTTAGAAGTGTTTGGGTACCAGCAATGTTCTTTACATTAAACTGAGTCTTTTTGGCGCCTTCGTGAAGGGGGCGCTCGAGAGCCACAGAACGATTTACGTTGCGCACGTTTTTGGCTTAAGCCTCACTGGCTAGTCTGTTTTCATTTGAACATTTCTGATAATCTTATCAAACAGGGGACGTTTGGTTTCTTTTTTCTATTCGATCAAGTAAACCTATCAGTCAACTTGTGTTGTTTGATCTCTTTAGACCTGTAATCTTGTAGCGATGTTGATTAAAGGCTCATGAAAACTATTGAGGACCAGTCACACCAGTGTAGTGAAATCATTTCAATAGAATTTCTTCAATAATTGGATTCCCACATGGAAAAACTGAAATTTTGGTAGTCGATTTTAATTTTGGTTAACTTTGTGCTGTTTACCAATGAGGAGTCATGACGCTAGGTCTGGGCTAGCCTCTGTTCCACTTGCCTCTGTAACACAATGCAATATTTCATTCAGCATTTGCTTTGTTCAGTAGCTGTGTTGAGAAACTGAAACCTTAGTGATTTTAGCAAAGTTAAATGATTACTTTATGAACACGCGAAACAGTGCGAAAGCAAGGGTGTTTGCATCTTCATAACTTGTGGAGTGTTGTGTTGTGAATATCCATAAAGCCAAAACTCTTTTCAGCTTTTCTCTGCTGTCAGGTGTCCAGTCTTCTCTGTCCTGCTGTTATCAGAGACATGTCTAAGCTAGCTGTGATCCCTTGATTTCCTTTTCTATTGAGCCATGACGTTTAGCTTGAAACCATCTTGGGTGTATGGGAAATACTTGTTAAAGGCTGCTAAACACCAAATATTGAATAAATGAAATTAGGTTGATGTTCAAAAACTCGTGCTTATCTATTTAGTGAGTCACACAACATTCTTTTGAGGAAGTTTCTATACCCAGGCTGTATTTTCAGTCATTTGGGTTGTTTCAAATGTGAATGGGTTTTTGATTGAGGTGTTTACGGGAGCTGAGTCCTGTTTTCTCGAAAGTAAACTGTCGTTACACTGCTGACTTTAGAGGGAACAAAGAGCCACAGAATCAAAAATGGAGGAAGCTAATCCTGTCATACGATCAGCAACTGTCCTGTAACTAGTAAGGATGAGTGTTGATCTACTGTAATGTAAGCTAGAGCTGGGCGTTATGGACCCAAAACCATAACTAAAAATTTAAAAAAAAATGATGTAAGATAACTAGCATATATTAAATAATAGTCCTATCTATTTCTATCTCTCATTTATTGTCAACAATAGTAACAGACTGATTAAAATGGAGTACAATTACAGGATTTCCTCTCTTGCTGAACAAAATACAGCTGTGTAAATATCAATAAAAATGTAAGCAGGGCTGCTCATCTGATCATTTAGATCTGAACCATCTCCAAATAATTGAACATTGTCTTTCTTTTTGCATACCAAGTCTGTTTTACACAGATTGAGAATTGACTTATGGATGTGGGTGGCGCAGCGTGTGGCCAATGTGCGTGTGTAACTAGTGTTATTTTCTGTAGCTACAATCGCTGCAATTTACAGATGTCCCATAATATTTGCCTACAGTCACATGTAGACTAGCTAGTTGGCTCTGCACAGAGAAGCCTCTAGTTCCCCCTCACTTTGCAGCATCAGCAAAAAACTGATGTACTACATGAATGATATTTATTTCTCTGCAGTGACAATAAACACAACACATGGGCCCGCCAGTAACTGTGTTATATCCAGAGCTAAACAGTAACCGTAACTGCAACAAACAGCAGGGCTACTGCTGTACTTTGTACACACACAAAGGAGAAACTTTTTGTAATAAAGCTGCCAGTTCAACTATAAAACAGGTACACTCTCAAAGCACTATACCTGTCCTGTCCAGTGGAGAAACAAAGTGTCTGACAGGATCTGCTCATGGCTAGCTATGATTACCAGCTGTCTGTGCTACACTGAGCAGTCGCCTGGGAAGCTAGTTTTATACTTTCCACAAGTATGTGAGTATGCTAGGATCAGCATGATGTAAATTTCATCATTAGCATGTGAATGTGAGGCTCTGTGCGATCATCCCTGTACCTTCAGTTTGTTATGTCCTCGCCGGTACACATGGCAACTAGTACAAGGGCAATGAATGCGCATGTGCTACTCAAAGAATACTAGGAAGAAGTATGACAACAACTACGTGGCTGTGATGTCTGCAGTTATCGTTGTGCGTGTCAGCGATAATGTAAAAACGATGATGAATAGTAGGTATCTAAAATCTGCATGTGCTGCTTAATGTTGAGTGAACTATTCAGTGCTAATTGTATAAGGAGTAGTGCTGGGACGTTTGAGCGTTGTTTTGTTATTGTCCCCCCTCTGTATATACCAAATGCGAACCTCTAATGTATCAAGCATTTCGAGGTTTCCAGTATCGGGTGTTGCAGACCTTTCATGCCACAAGAGTACAGTAATGTGTAATGTATTAACATTAACAAGAGTGGATCAAAACAAGGCTTCATTCTACAATATTACAATTATACATATCAAACTGAGGGAATTAGAAGTGAAGGCCTGCTTCTGACCAATGGTGTAACTTGTTTATGCAACTCTATCACTCAGTCAGTCACAGGCATTCTCATTTATAGGACTGGTCCTGCTGATGCGTTCCAGCCAATAATACTGTCAGTCTGAGCTATTTACTTTTTTCTTTAAAGTTTTGTATTCAGTAACTTGGATGGGCCAGTAACTTTCCGCTTATGATAAGACATTGCTCTTCTTTAAGAATGGAGGGGATGTAGGATCCCAATATATTGCCCATGTGGTATGTTTAAAGTAAATTCAAATTTAGAACTACTGTCAATCTGGGCGTTATAGTGCTTAGATTAAAGATGTTACTGTTTTTTTGGGGGGGGGGGCATCTCATATAGCAGTCTAACCGTAGACTTATTATGAGACACTTTAACGAGATACTTGCTAGCTGCATTGTAGCAAGCTGTGTTGGGCTAAATGGCTTCCTTTGGTCAGAAATTTTAGTAGTCTGTCTTTTGTGTTGACCTCACATTAGTAGATATGTTTTTTTGCTTCATGAAAAACATCTCAGCAAATTATTTAAAAAAACAACCGAGCGCCACACAGCAACAATGGCTACAGAGAGAAGTGATTTCCAACAGGGCCTTTGTCACCATGGAGCAGTAGATAGTCTGGATTTAACTTCCAGTGATTCAGTGTTTCATTGTTGCTTAAACCATTATTAATATATAATATAGTGGTTGATTAATGTTGATCAGAACCAAAGACTCCACAATTAATTTAAGAGCTGCTAACCTATCTGCTTTGTAAAACTCACTTTTCAACACTTTCCCAATCCCCAGTCCCCTGTTAAATGGGGCAATATTTCCCAATTGCAGTAGATGGGCTTCTATATTGAAGTCATGATGAAAAAAAACTGAAAACGATGCTCTGTGGATGACAGGACAGTTGTTTTGGTCAATGAGCTTTGTGATTTTGACAGATTTAGATGCGTGCAGGTATGCTGTCACAGTGCAGTGAGTGAGGGTCAGGCTACCCTCATTTAGCCTCTGTTCTGAGCTCTTTTCACCAGGATTGTCCAGATTGTTAGCAGATGTGTTTGACATCATCTTAGTTGGTCTTGCAGTATGTTTGTGTTCAAACAAACCAAATTGTTAATTGGGCCCGTTTCAATATCAAGTCTCCAAATTGACAAAATTGTTTATTTTAGTAGATTAATGTGAAATTAACAAAATGTTGTTAAGAGAATAAAGATCTTGTTGTGATGTTGTCATCTAGATGATTAAAAATTTGGTTTCAGTTAATAATGTTGAAACAGTAATTACCACAAATTTTCAGATAATGGCCTTTAATTGAAATATGCTTACATTACAGACAGCCATTATTCCATGGATAGTATGCATTAAACATGCTATCCATGTTAATGCACACACAACTTCATTGCCATACACATTTCAGGTCCTGTCGATTTTGACTCACTAAATATTACCCAAACCAACATGGACTTTTTATCTCAGGAAAAAATTAACACATTTCGCCGGACAGCCAACCTTCTTCCATTTCACAATTATTGAGGCCCATGTGTTCCTGGGAACACTCAAAGCTTTAGAAATGGCTTTATACCCATGCCCTGGTGTATGCCATGACAGTTTATTTTATTGCAGATAATTCCTTGGATTTCATGGCTTGGTTTTTGTCCTGACGTGCAATGTAAATTGTGGGATCTTATATGCACGGGCGTGTGCCTGTCTGAACTTTGTCCAATCAATTCTATTTGCCATGAGTGGTCTCCACTGAACCTCTACACATAGGCAGCCAGCTCTAGGAAGAGTCCTAGTTGTTCAAAACTTCTTCCATTGTTTGTTCCACGATTTGGATTTTGCACCATTTGTAAGGAATATAGATATTGGCGCGTTACATCAAGTGAACAACTTGTATGAGTACAACATACTGCTTGTTAACCAGTTAGCTTAGCTTCCATTTTCTGCACAGCACATTGAGAATGTATGTACAAGGCACCCCAGTAGCTAAACAGTTAGGGCACATATATGTACCCACTGCCTCCCTGCCATCTACTATCCAAAAATGCCATGTCTGTTAAAGTGGTCCATATAAATATACATTCAATTTTACAAACCTTAAGTAGTTTCCTAAAACAGCTGTAGGTTTTACCAAATGTTTCTCAAATAGAAGGACCTAG